GTCAGGCCTAGTGCGCCTCTTCTATGGGCCCGTCCAGGAGCCTTCGGGATCTAACGTGTTTCATCAGGAGGGCTTATGTACGTACATGGTAATTAGGCATTCATTATAACGCCCCAAAACATACCCTAGAATTTATCAATAAATAATTATTCGATTAATCAAATTTATTTTGATTAAAATAAATTGTCATTGGGCTTTGGGCCGCTACGAAATATGTTTTAATATCCAATATCAAAATCTGGATAAGTCTCATAGAGATAAATCCAATATGTTGAGTATTGTGTGGTCTTCATTGGGAACCTGAGTACAGACCCAAATAAAAAATAAATAAAGAAATTATTTATGATGTGAGCTTTGAATTTATTTATTGAAATAAATCATGAGAACAAATTATATGAATTAAATATGAGAACCTTTTTCAATAAATATGATGTCGGAAAAAGTAAAACGGATAATATGATGTCGGAACAAGTATTACAAATAAACATAAAAATTATATCATTCGATAGAGTTTAACTATCTGATCGCAACGGTACAAACGGATTTCAATTCGGAGAAAGTTGGACAAAAAAGTGTACCCCAACTAGGACCAAATTAATCACAATCAGGGACTTGCGTAGGAATCACAAAAATCGGTCGCCTCCTCCACTGAGACGCCGAAACAGGAATGGATACATCACCAAGCTTGGCAGTTTCTCCTTCCTTCTCCTATATAAATAGCAACACCTTCAATTCTTCACCAAATCATCTTGTTCTTTCTTTCATTTTGTTCTTTGTTGAGAGAGGAGTGCATTGGTGCTGTCAACTTGGTGAGAGGTCGCCGGAGTTAAGAGTTATCGTCGCCGGAAGTTTCGCCGGAAAATTTCTAAAACCTCTATTTAAGTTCGAGGTAAGCCCGTAGATATATCTGGTGACTTGAATGTTCGTATAGATCTTTCTACGTTCATAAACGGTCGTTTGGTTGAGTTTTGTGTTTGACATGCTTCAAGAACAAAGAATCATAAACTACGAATTAATGATGCCAAAATGATCTATGAACCTTGGAGAACATTTCTATATAGTTTTGTTGAAATTCGGTAACTAAAAATGGTATTTCCGAAAAATGGACCGAAGGTTGAAGAAGATGAACAGTAACCTGAAACTACCCTGTCTAGATCGATCATATGGCTTCGATCGATCCTCTGGGAGTATTTTTTCACATCATGGGTTGATCCAGAGGGCTGGATCGATCCGCCGATGTTCTGAACTGAAAATTTGCCCGAAATTACTATTTTTGAGCTTTAAAATCCTATTTTTGATACCAATTGATTATGATCATTATAAAAATTATTTTTCACAATGAAAATGATGTTTTTAACAAATAAAAATGATATGAGATGCGTGACGGTAAGTTTAAGTATTAACACTCGAAACTAGGCCGCTAATTGTTATCAATTGTTATGTTAATTGATGATTATGATAAATTAATATTATGGAAGATTATGAATAATGAACCTACTGATTAAAATGAATATTTATGATTGAATCATGAGTAAATGAATACCTTTATAATTATGAAATGATTCGTAGTGTTAAGGGTATTTAGAAGAGCTCTAAGATATACCCATTTAGACAATTGATGTTAAGGCTATCTAGAAGACCTCAAGAATAGATCTTATATTAGAATGGATTTGTGGAACATGAATATTCAGTGATTAAATAAAAATGTAATAACGGAATTCGTAAACCAAACTAGAGAATCACTTGTTTGGAAGTACTTTGACTCAATGATGATTAATCGCTGTATTGTTATTGCCTTAAACAAATTATAGTTTAAGCGTCTGAGAATTGTTGTTTGCCTTAAACTAATTAAAGTTTAAGCGTCGGAGAATTAATGCCTTAAACTAATTAAAGTTTAAGCGTCGGAGAACTGTTGCCTTAAACTAATTATAGTTTAAGCGTCTGAGGATTGTTTGCCTTAAACTAATTATAGTTTAAGCGTATGAGAATGAAATTATGATTTGGCCTTAGACTAAGATTATCTAAGAGCGTTATTATGATTTGGCCTTAGAATAAGATTAGCTAAGAGTGTTGTTATGATCTGCCTTAGACTAAGATTAGCTAAGAGCGTTGTTATTATTTAGCCTTAGATTAATAATAATTTATGAGCATTGTCGAAATAATATTCAGTATGTGAATTGAATAAAATATGTTGATATGAACTAAAAAATATAAAAATTATGAATGTTACATTGTTTGCATGATATCAAATGATTTGATTATGAATTTAGATTCAGTTTATATGGATGTTCGACGCATTAGATATGCTTACTCAGCTTTACCGCTGAGCGTGAAGTGTGTTTTATTTGCTACATGCAGGTAAATAGAAAGATTAATGTGATCCTAGTGGCAGATGAGGCGAGATTTTCGGAATGGATGTGACAAATTTGAAATGATTTATGATATGTCAATATTAAATTCGCTTCCGCAATATTGTTGAATACTTTGTACTGTATATGTTTTGAAAGATATTATTTTGATAAATAAAATGTGTTTGAAAAGTTTTAAAATTTTATGATTTCCAAGTTAAATACTTTAGTCTGAAAGGGGCTGCATACCTAGACAGATTAGGGTGTTACATTCATTTACCACCCATAGTTTCTAGGCTCCTTTCGGAGACTAAAGTTTCCTCGGCTCATCACTGCGTGGGGATGATCACCGAAGGGCAGGGGGTCCCTACTTAGTCTAACTCATGCATCATGAATCATTGGGAATTGCATCATTTATAAGTAATTATACAGATCCTAATTATCAATTTGTATGTGGTATTGCAAAACATAACGCACTTCATATCCAACACCGTCGACGACAAGGCCAAGGTATTTATATTTGGATAATTTTCCAAAATGAAACTCCATGATATTTATATGAGTATCTTATATCTTGTGCTATCTACTATGCAATCATAAAAATTACGTGGCCAATGTGATGCATGGTATTTTAAGTATAAATATGTTATCGATCTCTCGCGTTATCGTACCACTCACCTTTATGCTGAGCGTGTAGTCTTTTTGCCTACCGGTAGGTTGAAGCACAGATTAAGTGAACCACCCAGAGGACGAAGAGACGATAGGATAACAGGTTGACATGCATGATTTTCACGAGCATTGCATTTGAAGTTTTGGATTTGACCCACATCATTGTATTTGTACTATTTTAAGTCTTCCGCTATCTCCGACATTTTGTAAAAGGATCGATCCGAATTTGGTATTTTGTATTTGAAGTTTTGATTTATAAATTTTATTAATTGATTTGGAAAAGTTTTAAAAATATTGCTCCCGTTTCACCTTAATTCTTATAATTCCGGGTTATACAAATTGGGGTGTTACAGGGATAGAATGTTGAACAATAGATAAATTCTCATAATGATACTTCTGATGATGATGGTAATGACTATGAGAATGTTGATAAAGATATCTTGAGTAGTGAGGAAGTCTCAGTTCAAGAGGAATCTAACTCTGGAGAAGAGGTATATCTAAATGTTGACATTAGTAGAAAGATGAGTTTAGGCCATGAATTATTAGATGAAGATGGTAGTGGTTGTCCACTAGTTGTTAATAAGATGGCAAGAGTGTTCAATAATGGGAGGCTTTGGAGTAGAAGCAGAGATGGAATTGTTGACTTAAATGTGGGTGACATTTTTACTTGCAAGAAAGATTTTCTTAGGGTTATGAAGGATACCACTATTCAAAAAGGTATAACTTTAAGGAAAGTAAAAAATGACAAGAGTAGATAGAATAGATGAAGTAATATGAGGTGCAGCTTTAGAATACATACTTCTATGTTAATTGATAAACGTACTTCGATGATTAAGTCATTTTGTGATAAACATGTCTGCTGAGTCAAAGAGCACAATCCTAAGGCTAGTCCTGGTTGGGTAGCTACCAAACGCATGGAAGACTACAGGGCTAATGTGAACATGAATGCAGAAACTATTCATAAGCTTATTCTGAAGAAATTTAATACCTTTATACTAATGTACACATATTGGAGGGCACGTAGGTTGTTGAGAGATATTGTCCAAGGAAGACATGAGGATGGTTATCGCTTACTGCCACATTATATGGAAGTATTTAAAGGAAGGAATCCAGAATCTCTCTGCTTCATCCACTAGAACACTCAAGGCCCTAGCAAAGACCCCACATTTAAAAGATGTCAAATTTGTATTGGGTTAGCCATTGTAGCATTCAAAAAATTCTGTAGACCACATATAGGGATTGATGTTTTTTTTCTTAAAAGGTATATACCAAGGGGTACTCTTAATTGCAATGGCATTAGATGGAAATAAGAGATGGATTTTTTGGGATGATAGCCACCTCTCACTCACTTCCTTCCAAGATCACAGCCAAGTTTCCCACAGTTTCTTCCACCAAACAGAAAGCCAAACCCCTCTTCTCATCTCATCTGTCTATGTAGCCCATACAGTCCTTGAAAGAAGAGAGCTTTGGGATAACCTCCAAGACAAGAGCAATATCACATACCAATGGATTATAGGGGGGGGGGGATTTTAACACAATAGCCTCTCTCTCTGAGTTCAAAGGTAAATGCACCCCTAGCTCTCAAGGTATGGAGGATTTCTTAGAATGCATCTCTCAATGCAAACTAGTCTCCATTGACCCTATAGGTAGTTTATACACTTGGTCTGGTGTTAGAAGCCAAGGCAGAACTTGGAGAAGACTGGACAGAGTTCTGGCTAACATTCCACTTCTTGCCTTTTATGATGAAGTCTCCCTCAAGCATTTGTCCAAATCCACCTCTGACCATAAACCTCTCCTTGTACATTGCAGTAAAGTTTTACCTTCAGGTCCGAAACCTTTTAGATTCCTGAATGCCTGGACACTACATGACTCTTTTCATTCCATGGTAAAACACAGAACCCTTTTAGACGGTTGATGTCCTCCATACTCTCCAGACCGTTTATTTGAGTAATCGGAATTTCGTCGTGAATTTTAAACCTTAGTCCTTCAAAAACCTTTGTAAAAGAGGTTTGAAGTTAGACGTCTCCTTGTTTCTTCTCAAACAGAAACTGAATACGAGGCTAATCCAACCCAAGAGAATAGGGAAAGAATGCAGAAAGCCAATGCTGAGCTCATCCTTGCAACCAAGTTGGAGGTACAATACTGGAAACAGAAGGCAAACATCAGGTGGTTAGAAAAGGGAGACTCCAATTCCAAAATTTTTCAAGCATATGCCAAGGGGAAGAGAAAGAAACTCTCAATATCTCACATCATCAAACCCAATGGCACAGGCACAAAAAATCTCACAGAAATCAAAGCTGAAGCCATATCCTACTTTGAAAATACTTTCAGGAAATCTCACTCCCCCTCTTTTGATCCAATTATCTCTCTTATCCCACAGATTATTACAGTAGAAGACAACACCTTTTTATGTGCCACCCCTTCCATGGAAGAGGTCCAAAAGGCAGTCTGGGATTTGGATGGGAGCAGCGCTGGAGGGCCTGATGGTTTCAATGGAAACTTTTTCAAATCTGCCTGGGAGACAATTAAGCAGGATGTTTTGATAGCTTCTCAAGATTTCTTCATGGGGCAACATATTCCAAAAGCTTATGGAAGCACCTTTCTAACCCTCATTCCTAAAATAGAAAACCCAAAGAGATTTGAGGATTATAGACCAATCTCCCTGTCCACATTCATGAGCAAGATTAATACAAAAATCCTGGCCAACAGGCTAAACACCCTCCTACCCAAACTGATCTCCAAGGAGCAAGCAACATTTCAAAAGGGAAAATCAATTGATGATCACATCCTCATGGCACAGGAGGCAGTTCACCTTTTGGATAAAAAAGTGTATGGAGGTACTCTAATCATCAAATTGGACATGGCAAAAGCTTTTGATAAACTTGACTGGGAATACTTAGAGGCCCTACTTTTGAGATTTGGATTCAACAGTCTATCAACTTCCCTCTTAATGGCCAACTTAAAAGGGACCTTCTTCAATATACTCATCAATGGAGAGCCATCAGGATTTTTCAAAATGGAGAGGGGGGTAAAACAAGGAGATCCACTCTCACCCCTTCTTTTCATCCTAGCAGCAGAAGGTTTTAGTAGAATCATCAATATGCAGATGGACACTAACCACCTGCTCAGATTCAACTCAGGCCAGGTCCTATTTCCCTCCCACCTTATTTATGCTGATGACATTATAATCTTTTCCAGGGGAGACAATAGAAATCTGCTCAAACTCAAGGTCACTCTAGATATATACCTCAAGGCTACTGGGCAAGAGATCAACCTTAACAAGAGCAGATTCTACACATCAAAGCACACAACCAGCTCCCAAAATCAAAACATGGAGAAGGCTCTAGGAATCAAAAGAGGGAACCTACCTTTTACCTATCTGGGAGCTCCTATCTGTAAAGGGATTCTGAGAAAAGAGCACTGCAAAGATATCTTGGGACATTTTGAAAAACTTATTCACTCTTGGTACAGCAAGACTCTCAACCAGATGGGTAGACTTATACTAATAAAACATGTTCTATCTTCAATCCCATTACATACCCTTGCTGTCCACACCATTCCCAAATCAATCATCCACACCCTCAATAGATACATGGCCAACTTTTTGTGGGGACAAAAGGAAGGATCCCATAAACACCACTGGGTTAGATGTGCACAAATAACAAAACCTGAGGTAGAGGGAGGGCTGGGGATCAAAAGCTTAAAGGACCTACAACAAGCATACACCCTTAAACTTTGGTGGAAGGCAAGAAATGACATTGGGATATGGGGGCCCTATGTGAGAGCCAGGTATATGAAAACAGGAATCATGAAGGAAAGGATCACTGACTCTCCATCATGGAAAAGGATTTGCAGATCTAATGATCTGGCAACATCCCATACCACCACTACTAGTTCAGGCTTGCTTTGGGAAAGAGGAAACTTCAGCCTCAAGAGTGCTTTCAACATGGTCCAGGGAAGTGGGACAAACATATTATCCTGTAAATACATTTGGCACAGCTCAAACATCCCAAAAATCAAGATCTTCTTGTGGAGACTTCTAAAGAGTGCCCTTCCTTTCCCTAAAAACCTATGCTGTTTCATGGCAGCCCTTCCCAGTTTCTGTCCTCTTTGCCATAAAGATAATGATGACATTGATCACTCCATGCTCCACTGTCCAACTGCAAAAGAGGTATGGAACTTCATGGCTTCCATTTCCAACGGCCCAAGGGTTAAGGAGAACACCACATTACGTCAACATCTTCTTGCATGGTGGTTTGGTAACAACACTAAACACTTCAGAGGTAACCTACGTCTCTTCTCCCCAGGCCTCTGCACTTGGTCTTTGTGGAAGGCACGTAACTCTTATATTCATAACGCAGCTAAACCAACAGTGGAGGGTATTATTAAAACATGCCTCAAAACTCTCCAAGCTTGGGCATGGATAAACAGGAACAAAAAATGGATGGCTCATGATGAAGACTTCAAAGGCATGGGATTAGATTCCTTTTGGCGAAATGGTCGTAGAATCTTATCTAAATCCTTTGTATAAGCTGGTTGCTTTCCTCTTGTATTACCCTTCGGGGCCACTTGTATCCTCTTTCTCCTTTTCCTTTAATAAAATCCTTTTTAAAAAAAAATTGTCAGTTTCCCTTAGCCTATGGTGTAGCTCGATGTGAGGATGAAGTGGAGTGGGATTTTTTTACAAGGATTAGCTACAACCATTGATGCTAGATATACAATCATGTCTGGCAGCCACTAGGTAAGAAGTCATGTTACTCAGGTTTTTTGTTTGTTATATGTCTATAACTACTCACTTTACATTTTTGGAGTGACTTGTTTGGTTTGATTACAGGGCATAATAAAAACTCTAAAGCAGGTTGTCCCTAAAGCTTCCAAAAGGATATGTGTGCTCCATTTCTATAAAAATTATGCCACCAGGTTCCCAAGTCTATATTTGTAGAATTATTCCAATTTCATATGTTAAAGATATATGGCCAGTGGTTCACTTTGGAATATGTTGTTAACTTATGTTCTTAATATTGTAAGGTGCCTGGTTCCATTATTTTTTCTACATATGTGAAAACACATATTCAGAATATATTTTCAATAGAGCTATGGAGAAGATAAAAGAAGAGGATGTTAATGCTTATATATGGTTAACAAAAAAGAACCCCTGGATCAATGGGCTAAGTGTAAATTTGATCCAAATTTGAAGTCTAATGACAATACACACAACTTTGTAAAATCCTTCAATCATGCAATTATAAAACACAGAGACAAGCTGATTCTAAAGATGTCGGAAGAGATTAGAAAGTTGATAGGTTGGAGGTTTGAGAAGAGGTTTTAATTAGGTGGAGTTGGGACACTAAAGTGACACCATATGTAGATAAAAAAATTGAGAGTCCTAGCTAGTAAGTCCAGAACTTGCTCCCAGGTACTAGCTACTGGTAGAGGTGAATTTGATGTACTTGATGGGAGCACTAACTTCACTGTGTGGCTTAGAGTGTATAGTTGTGATTTTCATAGATGGAAAATTACAGGTTTGCCTTGTCGGCATGCCGTTAGGTGTATTCTAAGGAACAACAAGAACTTGGAAGCCTACTGCTCCCCATGGTTTTTTATTGAGAACTATAGAGGCCTGTATGATGGGATCATACACTCTATCCCTGATGCGTGCATGTGGGGGGATCATCTTTGCCTAAATTGGACCCTCTAACGGAGTTAAGGAAGAAAGGAAGACCAAAGACACATAAGAGAAGATGATACTTCGATGACATAATAACAAAAAGAAAGGCTTCGCTCATGGTACAAAAAGATGCAATAAGTGAAAAGTATTGGGCCATAGTTTTTGGACATGTGATCAAGCGAGGAATGAGGAAGGATTATTTCTAAAGAAATATGAAAGGAAGAACAAAAAACCAAAGAAAGGCCCGGAGCTAATTTAGTGTTATGTACTATTGTTATGTACTACAAGTTTTGTTAGTATTTTGGTACATCATGAAACTTAATGTTGAATGTTTGTAATTGGGCTCATTTAGGTACTTATTGGTGAATGTTTTTTTTGGTACATGTTTGTATCATGGATGATGGTCTTGCATTTTGTGAAAGTTTTATTACTGAAAATGTTTCGGTACATATTTTGTTTTGATTTGGTGTTAATCGTTATATATTCCCGAAAACCTACATGCACACACTCAATAGAGTGAAATTAGTGTTTTTTGTGCATAGACGCATGAAGTTGGAGCCAAACTGGAGAGGAGAACAAATGTGTAAATACAAACTAAAAGATTTACTTATGCAGATGCAAAGCTTGCTTAAATTAATACAATAAAGGTTGAGAACTACTTTTGTTCCTAGGTAAACAAATACCATTAGCCAGCACCACATTAAAGTGAAAAATCAAGATTACAAATAGAGAATCTCAAGGGAAATACATTATGGGAGATACATGCATTAAATAATAAAATTTGATTTAACTACATCATACAAACTAAGACAAATGAGTGTTTTATTTTAGCTCCATCACTACCAACACCAAAATAGGACTTACTACGAAACTACAAACACAACTTGATCACAATCATAAATAATAAGACAATGATAATTACCATAAAAAACACAAGTGGCACACCAAATATAAGCATAAAATTCATCCCCATTTCATTTAGCAAACTCTTGAAAAAGAGCTTCATCTCTGTCATATCCTCCATTACTTGCCCGTCAAGTGTTGCCTTGATCTTCAACTCTTTTCCGTTGATCATTTCCACATCAGAGGCATTAAGATCATCACGCCAACCCAAGGAATTCATACTCCTTAGACATTTCAAATACTCTTTTGGGGTTGGTAATTGAATTGGATACTAGGAGTTCACCTTCAACTTCACACTTGCGGCATACATACACTTTACACTCACATTTTTTTTGTTGAGGATCATGCTTCCATTTTCCCTTAAAATCAATCCAATTAAAAAATTACAAGGTAGTATCGGTATAATATAAATCAATGAAGCATAGATTAAATACAAAAAAATACTCCTCTTTGAGCACAAAAAAACCATATTCATCTTTGCAAAAATTAGTGGAGCATGAATTTATACAAAAAATATCTTGATAGCATGGGCAAATCTCCCACATACGCACCTCAACTTGCAAAGCGGGGGCGTCTTCGAATAAATCTTCTTCTAGCTAGTCTTCGATCTTCGTCTTCAAGCTGATAACTCTAATGCGATGTCTTCTTTGCTCCACCAGTCCCCCAAATCAATTTACGGAGTATGACTTTCAATTTAGGGAGTATGAATAAATAAAGGAACAAGGGCATAAGGGTAATTACACATCTATTCTCTTGCTCCCAATTAATTTCTGACCATTAGAAATGGAATGTGGCTAGTTGTTCTCATGTGAACCTGCAGTCATTACGACAAAACGGGGTCAGATAGTAAGTTTTTGGGCAAATTTTTTTGTGTTTGTTAATTGTTAGGTGTATACTTATTTTATAAATCTTAATACTTCCTCCGTCCCACAATGGATAACAGATTTTAAATAACGTCTAAAATCTCATCTTTTTCAAAATCATTTTAGTTATAAATTGATATAGAAATAAAAAAAAAATATCGTTCAAAAATACATCATTCTATAAAACAAGAGATGACAAGAACATTTTGTTTTATCAAATGGTCAATGAAAAAACATAAAAAACAAAATTTATCAAAAAACGTAATAGTGATAGTAACATCCATTTTGAAATGGAGGGAGTATATGAATTGGTTATATGTAATCAATATGTAAAAAAGATCCATGTATGAGTCCTTGAAAACAAAAAAATTATGTTAGAAGATTCAAATTTCACATGTAGATCTTAAGACACTAATAACACAACTCTTTCTTTTTTTTTTTCTATTTTCTCTTTAAGGAGTATATTATCCCAGAATATGTTGTGTTCTTTCTTGGATCGTCGTAGAATATTTATCTGATATCCTTTTATGGCAAAAAATATGATGAAAAGTCCATTATACTTCTTTTAGGCTTTAATTTTTTTATTTTGAATTATGTGTCCACCAAGGACCGACTCCTTGAGACACTAGGGGAGGGGGGATGGGGGTGGGGTGTAGGTTTTGAGGGTAGGAATCATTAATTGTACGAACGGAATACTGTAGATGCTTCAATTTGAGTTGTTGTCATATTATGACATTATGGTTTGTCGTCAAAATAACCAAAGTGAATAATTAATAAGAATAATAGTTGTAATAATAATAACAATAATAGCAATAATAACATTAATAATAATATGAAAAAGATACATTATATGTTTAAAAAAATTTAAAGAATTGAAAAAAATTAGAAAAATTGAAAATAGTTAGAAAATCAAGAAAGAGTTGGAGAAGTAAAATTACAGAGTATTAAAAAAATGTTCCAAGTCAAAAGAAAATGTGTTATAAGAACTGGTCTAAACTTATGTAGAGTATAATATACACCCTCTATCCCTGAAAACCTTACTCCTTTCTTTTTTCGTTCCTCCCAAAAAACACTTCTTATTTCTATAAAAAAGTCACTTTTAACCCTTACTTTTTCATACCATATCTATCACATCATACCTTTTTACTAATAATCTACCCATCAAATCCTACTTTTACCCATCATATCTAAGGACATTTTTGGAAATTCAATACCTAAATACACTCTCCATAAATCTCTTCAAAATCAAAACATCACATGTTTAAAGGGACGGAGGGAGTATTAAACTAGGTTGAAAACCTCTAAAAGCAAACAATTATTCCTTATATATGTCCCCATAGATTTTTCCATTACGCGTTACGAGATTTGATTGATTTTATTTTCAGTTGAATTTATTTAATTGAAAGTGTAAAATTTAAAAGTTGAAGTTATATAGTAAGAAACTACAAAAATCTCAAAACAATAGGTGACAACAATTTTATTTAATGAAAGTAAATCGGTGATAAAAATAATAAAAATGAGTTAAATTTGACTCTATAAATAGTATTGGGAATATCTACGAGGAACATGGGGAGCAATAAATAATCTCTTCGTCCTACAATCTTTGTCATTTTCCAAACAATGTGTAAATTTTGAATCCTTTTAAACTGATTTTAACTATAAATCAAGATAGAAATAAAAACTTTAAAATACATAATTCAAAACTAAATAAAAATATCTACAAATTAAGGAGTGACACTGATGGTGTAAATTACCGTGCAAATACTAAGTATAAGTGATCGGAAGGGCTGTAGGTGGAAACACCTGTAACCCGGTTTGTTATTAATGATAATAGTACTATTACAAAGTACAAGCCGTGCAAGTTAATTAAAGCATGGCTCACAAATGTGGCTTTTAGGGGTATTTATAACAATCCTAAGCACATCAAGCACGTCTTTAATCTTCCAGCCGGTCAGTTCACTGACCGGCCCCTTTGTATGCCTTCGAGAGCCCGGCCAGACAGCCCAGGTTGACCAAGTCAGGCGGCGTTATATTTGGTACCTCCCAGTTGGTCCGACCTACCGGGCGGTATCAATGGGTTATTACCCATCAAGGAGTCCTTCGATTCCCGGTCGTGTGGGTACCATCAGGGGCGGGAAGCATATCCGAGCATCCTTTCAAATTTAAACTGCCCAGGCGATTTTTGGTGGGAAAACGGCCTCTGCAAACAAGCGCCAAAACAAATATTTTTGAATTTTGAATTTTTGAAAACCCGGGCGCCAGAGGCGGGAGAATCTTCATTGAAATCCGGTACGACGCCGCCGATTTGTTGCGTCGTTTCGTCTCCCCGAGAAGTTATGATTACGAATCATTCTAGCTCCCACGTGTCGCTTTGATATTCGTTCAGCTGGGCGGCACCTCCCCTATATAAAGCGAGGTTCCCCCTTGAATTTTCTCACTTGCAAATCACCAGCTAAAAATATGCCCGGTTTCTTCAACTTTTTCTCGAGTCCTCCGAGTCTTCTTGTTCCAAGTAAGTCTCTTCCTTCCTCTTCTTCTTTGAGTCATGTCTTACCACGAGGACATTCCTATGGTTCTGGCGCTCGGTCTCAGACCTCCGGTTCCTCTTCTTCTTCTTCTTCTGAGCATCCGGCTACTTCTTCACAGAAGCAGTCGGTTGATGCTCCCTCCTATGCTCCTTCTTCTTCCATGGCATAAGAGGTCACGGTTGCCCGGTCCGTGGATGACGGCTTCGTTCCGCTGGACGACCGGTTGCTCCAAGAGCAACCGTCGCACATGCAGAAGGCTTAAGTCCACGAGCTGCGCAACCTAATGCCGGATGGATACCAGTTGTCCTACCGGGCAATGTGGAAAAATATTATTTCTCTCCATGCCGGTACGACGATTGGGATCCACTATCATTCCATCAAGGACTTGGGTGAATTCTCTATTCACCCTTTCAAGGTCCTTTTCTATGAAACGTACGGGATCATGCCCGGGCAGTTTGCCCCAAATGGTCACCGTATGTTGATTAGTTTCATCAACGTCTGCCGTTTTCTCTGCATCCCTCTCTCTCTCCGTCTTTTCAACCACATGTTTGATGTTTGGCCCGGGTCCAAGGGAACCCTAGGATTCGTGGCAGTGTCCTCTCACCAAGGCCGGGCATTCCTCTCCGGTCTTCCTCCTTCCAACAAGGGTTAGAAGGACAAATATGTCTCAGTCAAATTCCCCCCGGGCGCTTTTCCCTTTGCCCAAAATTCCTGGGGGAAAAGGATGAAAGTCCAGGTCAAGCCCGAGGAGACTGACGACCTGGCCGCTTGGGAAACCACTCTCCGGGCCGGGGACGCCTCCACCCGCGGCCCTTGCAACGTCGGGAAGTGGGGGGTTTACCCTGGCCGGGAGACATATCCCGAGCCGGAAATCATTCTGGCTGAGGCGATCCCAAATGCCATCCCCATCCACCGTGTGAAGGGATCAAAAGCCCCGGCTTCTACCGCCATCGGTTCCTCGCGCCCGTGGAAGAAGGAGAAAGGTCCAACCCTACTGCCCTTGAAAATTTGTAACTCTTTTATATTATTTTTTACTTTGCAACTCTCTTTTTCTAACCGATCTGTCTCTTCCTCGTATCAGTGGTGAAGTTCAGTTCAAAATTCGCCAACCCCCAGCTCGTCACCGAGGAGCCTTCTACTACCCAGCCCCTCATCCAGCCCTCCGGCCAGCCATTCTCTTTGGATGAGCAGCCGGCCCAATCTCACCAGGGCACGAGCCAGCCCATCCACTCCAGGGAGCTCTACATCAACGTAAACACCATGGAGTTTGATAACATGCTTATGGAGACCGGTCACACCATAGAGGCCGGTTTGCGTGGCCAACAAATTGAGGGGGGCCACGGCGAAGAAGAAGCTGCTGAGGAGGCTCTTCAAAGGAAGAGGCAGAGGACTGAGGTTGTGGACCAACCGGCCCAGTCCTCCGACGCTGGCAAACTGCGTGCCAAACCCCGGCCGTTCGCCCTGATGGTCCGGTCCGATGAGGAGCTCTATCAAGCCTTCTGCTCTGGTTTACAAGAGGTAACCCCAAATCTTTCTCATGTCTATTTCACTTCGTCTAAGACTAGGTTTCTGAAAAATCTTCATCTTTCTAAAGTAGGTCGGCCGGATCAGCCTAGAGTATTTCACCCGGCTGGTGAAATCCAAGGAGGAGGAGAAGGCCCGGCTAGAGGGAATGATGGTGGCTTGCCGGAAAGATGCCCAGGCAGCCCATCAGAAGGCCGGAAAGGCCGAGGAGAAGTTGCTGGAGCACTGAGCGGCCTTCCACAAGCTCTACGCCAAACACGAAGAATTGCTCAAGGCTTCCAAAGAGGCCGATGCCCAAGCTCAGGAACAGATCAAAAAGCTTCAGGCAGAGAAAGCCGGGCTTCAGGAGGAAGCCGCCCGATCAGCTGAAGAGATAGCCTGATTAGGGGATGAGCTGGAGAAGGAGCGCGCCGAACGGTTTGCCTCCTGGGCGATCACAGACCGGGAAACTGCCATCCGATTCTTCCAAGGGCTCTACAAGCATGAGACATCGGCCAAGGTCATCGACGAGAACAGGACCTTCGGCTTCGAAAGTGGCCAGTATGACGAACGCCGGGTGTTGTATGGCATTCTCCAACAGCGGATTCAGGGTTTCGAGCCCAAGGCCTTCTCTCTACCCAAGCTGCACAACGAGGCTCCGGTCGCGCCCTTCAAAGGCATCTGAGCTCCAGCCTTCTCCTTCCTTTTTTTATTTTTAAATGTAATGGTTTGCCTCCGGGCACTTTTTGTAAGACAATTCAGTATTTTAATGAAAGTTCTTTTTTCTATATGGTGTGCTGAATGTTTGATTATTTTATCCTGTCTTTTCTTTGAAATAATTTGTTCAACTTTAAATTTTCAACCGTGTAGATTACTTAGTTACAGCCCGGCTGTAATTACCCTGTCTAATTCAAAGTTTACCCAAGTCCATTCGGAAGACTGGCTGGGTGGCCGGGAAGAAATTGAATTCGACCGACCTCTTCCCGGTAGGTTTTTTAACCCGTGATGGCAATGTACCTTATCCCTTTCTAAGGATGGTTTTCTGCCCGGGTGTAAGCAAATCCGGCTTGTCTTTCACATCGGCTTATCGCCCTTGTTGAAAGATAAGCCGTGCATTTTTCTTCATTCATTTGACCTAACCAACCGGGATGCTCTCCCTCTAGTTATGTCATTTGAATTCTGTGTCAGTACGGGTGAAGAGTTTGATCGGTTCGACCAGTCTCTCTTTCTTTTTTTAAGATGTTCAACTCGATTGAACATCTAGCCGGTCAGATTGGTAAGTGACCAATTACCAATTGGTGTAAAGAACAATCTTTCTGAAAAGAACAAAGTTTTATTCATGACCGGGAACTCATTACACTTTATCTAAAAAATTTACGCAAGTGGTGAGAGTTCCAATGTCGGTCGACTCGTCCACCTTCCATGGTTTCTAGTTGATAAGTGCCCGGTCGGATGATTGCCCTTATGCGATAGGGTCCTTCCCAATTGCGCACTAGCTTGCCTCTTTCATTGGGCTTACTGCATCCCTTCTTCGCAGGACTTCATCATGCACCTGGAAGTAACGTGGACCTACCCGATTGTCATGATATCTTTTCACTGATTGCTGATAACCAGCCATCTTGACAACTACCATCGTTCTTCTCTCTTCCACCAAATTCAGTTCCGCCAAGTGATCAGCCTCGTTCTGACCGGGCTGATACACGGTTTCTCTAAACGTTGGGAACTCTGCCTCAATTAGTAACCGGGCTTCAGATCCATAAGTGAGCACAAAAGGAGTCTCCCCGGTTCCTCTTCTTGATGTCACCCTGTGTGCCCAGATTGTGTGAGGTAGTGCTTCTAACCATTTGCGCCCTTCTTCTCCCAACCTCTTCTTTAGCCCGTCCACTATCGTCCGGTTAGCATTTTCAACTTGGCCATTTCCTTGAGGGTATGCTACTGACGCCTTGTTGTGCTGGATTCCAAAACTAGCCAAATACGCAATGAACCGGGGGTTGCGAACATGTGGGCCGTTGTCGGTGACAATCATCTTTGGGGCCCCAAACCGGGTGATAATGTTTTTCGAAACGAATTTTTCACACTGCCACACGGTTACGGTAGCCATCGCCTCAGCCTCTATCCACTTTGTGAAGTAATCTATGACGATCATCACGAACTTCTTCCCGCCTTGTGCAACCGGGAATGCCCTAAAAATGTCAATCCCAAACCGGGCAAAGGGTATGACATTAGAGGTTGGTTTGTAATATGTAGCCGGTCTGTTGGATGTTTGTAAAAGACTTGGCATGTCCTACATTTTTGCACCTACCGTTCACAATCCCTCACAATGGTCGGCCAATAGTAGCCGAGTAGAATTATTCTTTGGGCCAATGTACGGGACATCTGATGGGCAGCGCAAACTCCCTGATGTACCTCGGCTATCACCCGTTCGGACTCCGGGTTAGTAAACAACGCAGCAGAGGTCCTCCAATAGCTCGCTTGTATAAGTGACCGTCTAGTACCTGAAACCGGGGAGCCCGTATGACCACCTTCCTGGCCCGCTCTTCGTCGTCTGGTTTCTGGCCAGTCATTAAGTACTCCATGAGGTCGTATCTCCACTCATCATCTGCCTCAATTATTCCCGTGGCTGAGCCCTGAGCTTGTTGTACGGCTGCAACCTCCAACCGGTCAGTACTCGGTTGGTCCAATATCTCAATTTTAGCCAACTTTGATACCTGCTCCGGGCAAGCTTGCATCAATTTAGAAAGCATATCAGCATCAGTATTTTTCCGACCGGGGTATCCCGGTCAGACGAAACTCTTCCAATTCCCTCAAAAGAGCTCTGACTAGGTCACTGTACCGGGCCAAACGTTCTTCTTTGATCTCCATCTCGCCATTAACCTGCCCGACGACCAGGCTTGAATTGGAACGGATCTTCATTCTCTTGATGCCGAGCGCCCAGGCTAATCTAAGCCCACCAGCCAATGCCTCATACTCCGCTTCATTGTTGGTGAGTTTGAAGTTCAAAACCAAGGCAGGTAGATTTTGAACCCTTCTGGAGTAGTAAAGACTATGTTGGCTCCGCAGCCCTTCATTCAGATGCCCCATCAACGGTCATGTCCCACCACGGTTCGACCATATGGGAAGGTCCGGCTTCAGGCTCCAGACCAGTCAGTTCCACCAGGAAGTCGGCCAGTGCTTGGCCCTTGATTGCGGTTCGAGGTTTATACTCGATTTTGAACTGGGTGAGCATCATTGCCCACTTGATCATCCGTCCTGAAGAAGTTGAATTGCAGAGGACCGGTCCAAGTATTTGCCTTCTTCAGGACTTTGAAGAAGGGCAGGGCCCTTTCAGCTGATCGGGAAAGGAAACGGCTCAAAGCTGCCAGCCGCCCGGTAAGTCGTTGCACATCTTTCAGTGAACCAGGCGACCTCATCTCGGCTATGGCCTTAATCTTCTCAGGGTTTGGCTTAATGCCCCGCTTCGTTACCATGAACCCCAAGAACTTGCCGGTCTTTACAACAAAGACGCATTTCTTGGGGTTGAGGCGCAGGTTGTATTTTGCCATGATCTCAAAACATAACCTCATATCAGCTCGGTGGTTTGTTGCTCCCGAGCTCTTGATCAGCATATCAAACACATAAGCTTCCATTCACTTACCGAGGAGTGTCTTGAAAAGCCGGTTCACCATCCTTTGGTAAGTTGCGCCCGAGTTCTTAAGTCCAAAGGCCATCACCCGGTAACAATATGTACCGGGTGATGGCCTTTCAACGAATCTCTGTTCTCTGTTCTCTGTCAACTCATTTGAAAGAGGTACGACCAAAGGGAGTCCCTCTCCCATAGGTCGAGTGACTTCGTACCTCTCCCATAGGTCGAGTGACTTCGTACCTCTCCCATAGGTCGAGTGACTTCGTACCTCTCCCATAGGTCGAGTGACTCCCTTTGGTCGTACCTCTCCCCTCTTCGAGCGACTCCCGTTGGTCGTACCTCTTCGAGCGACTCCCGTTGGTCGTACCTCTTCGAATGAGTTGAACATAGTTCAACGAATGGTCGTACCTCTCCTTTTAGTCGTTTTAGTCGAATGAGTTGAACATAGTTCAACGAATTCTCTAGCGACTCCCGTTGGTCGTACCTCTTCGAATGAGTTGAACATAGTTCAACGAATTCTCTAGCGACTCAATGAGTTGAACATAGTTCAACGAATGGTCGTACCTCTCCTTTTAGTCGCTCGAAGAGGGGAGAGGCGCTAGCGCGAAAAAGCCTATCTATTCAATTTTCCTTACTAGTCAAGTGGTAAGGTAGGGCGCTATTCGATGAAGAAAACATACTTTAGGAAAGTGGTTCAGGTAGCTTAGCTGGTTAGAGCAAAGGACTGAAAATCCTTGTGTCAGTGGTTCGAATCCACTTCTAAGCGGGCGATAGGAACGTTTCAAATTCAAGTGAAAGAGTAAGCCTGAGCGCTCTTGCACTATACGGCTGGGTTGGTGTGGCTTGCTCGGATCCCTGGATGGTTTTCGTTTTCCCTATGTCTTTCTTCCTTTCTCAAATCTACGTATCTCCCTTATGGTCGAATGAGTTTCACTATTCGTTGACAGAGATTCGTTGAACTATGTTCAACTCATTCGACTAAAAGGAGAGGTACGACCATTCGTTGAACTATGTTCAACTCATTCGAAGAGGTACGACCAACGGGAGTCGCTTGAAAGGGCATGTCCCAACACACAACCACTTTATGCTGTCGGTGACCATCCACTTGGTGGCTCCAGATAAGGATAGGGAACTGCCCTAGGATCATGTGTATTGAGTCCAGCAGCACATACAAGTCTTCTGCTATTACCTTTTCGGGGAGATGGTCAACCCGGTCTCTTGAAGCCTCAGGCAAGTCTTTCAAGGCTTGGTGCGGCCTGATATGGAAGCATGAAATTGGCGACAAGTTCCCATAAATCAATGGTGTCCTGGCTTGGTTACTTGTCACCAGGAAGCACATTAGCAGATGCAGTTGATTCCTCTTCGAGGTACGAAGTCACTAGAGAATTCGTTGAACTCATTCGACCTACGGGAGAGGTACGACCATTCGTTGAACTATGTTCAACTCATTCGAAGAGGTACGACCAACGGGAGTCGCTAGAGAATTCGTTGAACTATGTTCAACTCATTCGAAGAGGTACGACCAACGGGAGTTGCTCGAAGAGGTACGACCAACGGGAGTCGCTCGAAGAGGTACGACCAACGGGAGTCGCTCGAAGAAGGACTCCCCTCTTCGAGCGACTCCCCTCTTCGAATGAGTTGAACATAGTTCAACGAATGGTCGTACCTCTTCGAGTCACTTCGTAGGTACAAAAGCCATTCATCTTGGCTTAGGATGATTTGCCCCAGTCGAGCGGCTCTGCATTCATTGCAGACTCGGTCGTACCTCTCCTTTTAGTCGAATGAGTTGAACATAGTTCAACGAATCTCTGTCAACGAATAGTGAAAGGTGGGTGGCCTCTTACGCGTTAGGAAGGCTTAAGTGTAGTCGAATGGAATCGGGCATGGTTAAGGTTTTAGTAGTGTATTATGTATTAATATTATGTATTAAAAGGTAGCATCATCCTCCTTGAGCGGTTTGCTAAGCAGTTTTGGGTGAGGTCAAAAGATCTCTCACCTGTCTCTGCTCGAGCTCTCCTTACGGTCCGCTCAACTCCCAGCTAGCTGAAAAGTAGACTCTCAATAGAAGTACACTGTTTCGTCTGGCTGAAGCGGGCTACCGAGTCTTGGGACGGCTTCCTTAAACCGGAAGTGGTGGCAGACAAGCCACCTGGTCGCTCTCCACTACCTTTAGTCGTTCGGTTTTCGGCGTTCGGCTTTCGTCGTTCGGTTTTCGGCGTTCGGTTTTTTGGCGCCCGAACCAACTCCGTGGTTTTCAAAATTTTAAACCCTGTTTTTATCTCTGAGCATATTTTAAAGGTTCCCGAATAATTATTTTGTAAAAACCATCTTTGTATCTTGGTCAATCGGTCTAACACGTGAAAAACGGTCAAAACCGTACGCACGTGATTTACGACCTTGAGGACTTGGTTTTTACCAAACAAGTCTTGTTTTCACTATTTTATACCATATACAATGTTTTTCAAACTTGGTTTTTACTTTTGGGAACGCTTCGTTTTTGGACCTCGGTTTTTCAAAACGGGTTTCAG